ATGCGCGAAGATCACGTGATGGGAAGTCGCTAATTTGACTTCATTTCCTGTAGTTTGTTTATATCTGTAAACAAGCGTGGTATAGTACTGTTTTATTTTAGAGGTTTTATTTGTTGTCTGTCAGTTTTAATCGAACGACTTTTTAATTCTACACGCAGTTCACAATTTATGTATTTGTTTTAATCTCGTTATTGCCAGTACTAAAATATTTTGAAATCGGTGCCTCGCCCTACGGCAACAAATTGTGCTTTTGAATTTCTGTTATATATCTTTTTTAAATTTTGTATTTATCCGACAATATCAATTTTTTTAATTCGGTCTACGAACTTTATTTGTGTTGCTTAAACGTTGGAGATTGTGTTAAAAATTTCGTTAAATTCCAGTTCCTAAAGTTTCCAAGTAATATAATTTTATTAATAACGTTTCCAATTACTGTTGATTTTGACAGTTATTGCAATTTTTGGGGGTCGGCTATTTTGCGAGCTGCGAGTTGCGAGTTTCGAGTTGCGAGTCGCTAGCCTCGCTTTGAATTAGTCTTTGAAAGTATATTAATATGGACGACAAGGAAGGCGAAGTCGAAGGGTTTTTTGTTTCATAAATATTAATGACCTTCGAAGTTAAGTTCCATGTAACTAAATTCGTTAATTTCAACACGTTTTCCGTGCACTTTAAGCTGGTTTTCCACTTCAAACGTATCGTAGCGAAGCGTATTTCTTTGTTTCCTGACCACTAGAGAGAACTAATGACTTCGACACAAAAGAAAATGCTACGATACGGTCGAGATGAAAATCATCGGCCTTTATTTGTTTGTTTACTTTGTTAGATCCATCGGTACGTATGTTCAAGAATTAAAATAATTATATTGAAAATAAAAGTGCAAGTTTATATTTGCCGTTTCGGTGTTTAATTAAATCTAGTAGTTATCCAGACCATTTTGTGCTTTCTAATCTTAAAATGGTTATTTAATTTTATTAGTAAGTATGACTAGACACCGACTCAGTTTGTTTATATATACTGAACGCTCGGAACCCTAAACTCAAGTCCTTTTCATCGGAAGTACAACCATCCGAGAAGCCCTGGGAACGAGGATGAAGTACAACTGAAGTTAAAATAATTCAATTTGTACATACATACATCAGTACATACAAAAATTTATTTTCACACGGGAAAAAACCATCAGTACATCAAAACGATTGCTATTTACAAGTTTGTAAGTATAAAAATAAATGCAATGAATGTTTATTTCAAAAGCTGAAAATTCGCGCCAAATTGAGACAAAGCTAAAATCCCATCCGCCAGGATGCCATACAGTTTTCAATTTGCTTTTTTAGTGTAAACCACAGGTTTAAACACCTGGTTCGGTGCTTCAAAGCTAGGTTAGTGTTAACCCTGGGTTAAAATTAAACCCGATATTATTAGAAATTAACAATATACTCGTAAATCGCAGCTCGCAACTCGCCAGTGGCGGCGCCAGGCTTCCAAATTTTTTTTGGGGGGGGGCATTTGAGGGGCAAACTCAAATTTGGGGGGGGGCAAGATAGAATTTTTAAAAAGGTCGCCCCCCAGGAAATTCGCCCCCCCCCCCCCCAAAAAGG